CCTTTTCCACAGGTGCTGCACCCTTCAGCCACAAGGGCACTTTTCAGAAAGGCTGTCATCAGAAAACGGTGATTGAAACCAGGTACCAGGCACCAGACTCTCCTTCCTCAAATCTTTAAGCAGTCATGAAATTCAGTTGGGTATTGAAAAGCAATTTATGCTCAGGTTAAGCTCAGTCTGGTTTTAGACAGCAGCACTCTTGGAGAGAGATAGAAAAGTCTCTAGTTTGCCAATTGTAACCCCTGTAAGACACGCTCATTTTCACCACAACCGTAGAAAGGAAGACTTGGGTGAAGATGGAATTTGGTTAATAGTTCACAATACACAGACATTAAGAAGCACTGACTTGAAAATTAGCAAGACAAAGATGCAAATAAAATAATATAAAATAAAATAAAAATCTGAATTATGAAGGACACAAGCAGAACTCAAGCTAACATGGTAGAAGAAATTGTAGATCCGATTCTCAGTGTTTCTGATAACTGCTACTTAAACAGAGCACGGAAGTATGTCCTTACATTGTATACAGTGGTGGATTTGAATAATATTTTTCTTCACATGCAAAAATAAAAACATAAAAAAAATGGGAAAACAAGTTCTTCATAAAGCTAAAAACAAGCACTTTTACCAACAGACTTGGAATCATGATGTGTGTGTAGAAAACATACAAATTATCTGGCTCAAAATTAGAAAATTTAATAAGGCATTCTCCTTCTCTCCAAATTATCCAAATTCTTGAAGAATCATCACTAATCACAACCTATGAACCTCTAGGCATTCATATTCTTGCCAGGTTGAAGTAAATAAGAAAAGTATTATTTGCCAAATTCCAATTGAATATATTTAGCATACGTTCATGACTTGCACCAAAATATAAAAAAAGCAGTGACTTACCTGAGAAATTGTTGCCTATTAGGGAGTCTATGGTAATTAGAATTATTTAAGTCTTCCTTCTTACGCTATATAATCCCATCCTCTTGCCATGTTCCAAATATTTTCTATTTATAATGTTACACCTAACAGTTCACACATCAATGTCTAATATACATATTAACCATTTTCTCATGTGGTAATCTGTGAATGCGAAGTCTTTGAATAATATGAAGTTCTGTGTGTTCCTATATCAAGGATTTTCAAGTTTTAATACCATGTCCTAGTTGGGATTTGTGTGTGCATGTAGCTTCAAAAGCATCAAATAAAATTAGCCCTTTGTACTGAGAAGCAGTTAAGTAAGGGTTCAGCACATAGGTAATGAATAGTAGTGGAGCATGGTATTTCATTACAAGAACTAACCCAATGCAGATACCAATTCAAAATGAAAAGGAATGGCTGGAGACCCAATCCCATGTACCATATTTCTTCATGTACATCTTCAAGAGTCACCACTAAAGATTTTCACTCAAGGCACAAGGAAAGCTTGAGGTGTTTTCTATAGGCATGCTTACAATGGATGAGGAGGAGATAAGTTGGTTCATTTGTTCATCTTCAACTTAGTCTTTAAAATATACCCTAAGCATCAGATTCTTGTTTCTTTATAGAAGTTATATAGATGACAGAAAGATGATGATGACAGATAGATATGAATAGATATGGATGAACAAAAAGAAGAATAATAGCATATTTTATGAAAGATTTGTACACAGCATCATACCACTGAGAGAAGGGCACATGTAGAAATACAAACCTTTACATCATAAACAATATTAGAATTTCAGAACTGTGTGTTCACTAATTTACATCCCACAAATAAATTTTATGTCATGGAAAAATGGAGATATTTTGAATACTAAAGTCCTTTATTTAACAACACAGAAATTTCACAAAAACAACTTTACTGGGCAAATTGAAGTGATTTTTAATTTTTTTACAGTTTTGTACATGCCCCATAAGTGATTTTTCTTTAATAAATACACTGTTTTCCAAAACTGCTTTTTTTTTAAATAACTGCACAAGCTTACATACACCTTTACACAAATAGCTATTAGAAAATGTAACTGATAACTGCACAGTTTGGAACAGAGGACACTGGGAAAGGAGTACAGTTTGTGGCCCATGTCCGAAAATACCTATTTGGCAATTGTGAAACGGAATCCCTCTGAACACAGTAGCTGTGTTTTATTCGCCAGGAATACAGAGCTCAGTGTGAAATGCCAAATTTAATAAAAACAAAATCTGAAACGTTTAGCTGTTACATGAGAACCAACTGTTTGATATTGCTGTGAATCTCACCATGATCAAAGACCCACTACAGCTTTCTGCACAACATATTTAACCCTGAATCATGTGTTCATTTGACTGTGTCTCTCTTTTCATTCTTTGATTACTGATACTATCAGCTTAAAGGCTTTATATGCTTTAGCACTAATTGAACAATATCCATGCCAGGGGCTCTGACAAGGGATGGAATATTTCTTTCCTTTTGTGATTACTTAATATTAATTCATAGGAAGCCCATCATTTCCCACTCCTTGTGATTTCTCAGAAGGAAATTGAGGGTTGGGGGGTTAAGCAACCAGGAGACATTTTACATACGCATATCTTAGGGGATGGTGATTCTATTTATGTTCCAAGGATGGATTCAGTACTACTTTGTGAGCATGCCTCTGCTTGTATAGGACAGATGGAGTCCCTTAGAAAGAAACTCACCTTAGTCTGAAGGTCAGAGATGACAGAGGTCTGGACTATGATATTCTTCTGGAGTGCTGGGGGACAGCTAAGAGGAGTGTTTGCTTAGTACACTGTGTGCTGATGCCCACATATTCTCCTGTGCTCCCCTCAAATGCTGCCAGGGCACGGCATCCACGGAACACTGGAATCATGTGTGTGGATTTCTCTAATAGCCTTAACAATAGCTGATATGTAATTTTTAAGTGGTACATATATAAAGTACAATCTGGTGGCTAATTTCTGAATTTCCTTGATATGGAAAATGAAACACACTGTGAGTAACTGTTAAAGGTTATGTTTCATTGATATTTTGGAACAAAGAAAATGCACACATTCAAGTCCACTGCCCTAAGGCTACAAGTTCTCTATACAAAGCCACTTGAGAAAGAAAACTAGAGGGAATCTAGAAGGATAATTTCTTCACCATCACCAGTGAGAACTCTATATGTACCCAACATTTTGTAAACTGAGTTTAAGCGAAAACACAAGTAATGTGTGGCATAAAAGAAATTAGCGTAGATAATAAAATGTAAGAGAATTAAAGAAAAAGGCCACACTGTTTGTTATAGTAACAAATTCCTTTCATTAAAAATAAATGAATTGCCATGTGAAACAACACATTTACAATACACAGATTCATTGTGCTGAAAAAAAAAAGCCAAAAAGAAATAAAATACATCAAGACATGCAATACCACCTTGAATTTTTGACTGTCCATACATTGCTATGCGGTCCTTATAGTGTGCCTAATACAATCTGAAAAGGAGTTTGTTTCATTTATAATCATTTTTACAAAAAAACAAGAGAAGCTTCCCATTCTAGTGTGAAAATAAGTTTCCATGTACACATAGTTAACAAATTGGCAAAAATAAGAATAAAGTAAAATAAAAGTTGCAAAGGTTGGGGGACAGAGAGAAAGAAGGAAAAAGAAAGAAAAGGATGAGGAGGAGGAGAAAAAGAAGGAGGAGGAGAATGAAAAGGAGGAAAAACAATGGGACAATGAAGAATTCATACAGCACTCATTGGTCCTACAGCAGAAGCAGAAATTATAACTACCAATCCTCTAAGGATACACATGGAGTAAAAAGCTATCTCAAAAGTAATATACAGCACATTTTAGCTTGTGATGATTTCATTCCTTTCTCTAAACACAGGCAGGTGTAATACATAATGCATTTTCCTCACAAAGACTGCTTGACCATGCTGCAGACTGAACATTGGTATGCTAGCTAGGCACATCCGCCCCACTGGTAACCCACACTGGCACCATACAAACCTCCTAATGCTCTCATCAAGGTGCTGCAGTGATGGTGTACTTGACCTGCCTTTAGAAAAAAACTTGTCATCCCACCCCACTTTCCATTCCAAACTAAAATGAGATTTTGAAAAAGCATCCACCGGACAGCCTTTGAAAGGCTTTACCCTTTAAAGTCCTTACTGACCTACCACTCACTTCAGATGCTTTCCTTCTGACTCATCTTGCTGGGCCATTTGACAGGCATAAAGAACAAAGACCTAAGTGGCTGGCAACTTTCTATGTGTTTTTCCTAAACTGTGTTTCATTCCTGAAAGTGATCCTTACATTGCAATTAATAGAATTAGAGCATCTGTGTTAATGGGATAGGAGTCCTGGGGAAACCCGGTCCCACAGGACAAGGTGCTGGGATTCTACAAAGCATCCTGGGAATGGGCTGTCTTGTTTTTATGAACTTCTTCATACTGTAGCCTTTTGCTTCCTGGGAAGAAAGTGTCCAGTGATGAGAATAGGAATGAAAGCAGTGGGCGCTCCTTGGAGAGACTGAGGGAAGAAACTAGTCCAACTGAGAGATGTGGAAAGGAAGATAAACAAAAAAGCCTCAATTTTAATGAATGAATTTAAATATTTTTAACTTGGAAATAATGCCCAGCCATGCCTTAGAGCAAGCTTCACTGAATTCAAGTATTATTTTAAACCTATCCATCCAATGTCACACATGAAATTAAAACATTTGAGTAACCTGATTTTTATTTTTCCTACCTCTCCCCAAAGCAAAAAATAAACAAAGAATCAAAAGGCTTGGACAGCCTGTGTATGGCTAGGAAAAAAAAATGTCAGACATCTTTCTATGATTTAATAACTTCAGCCTAGAAAAAAACCTTTTTAATAAAAAAAAAATATACAACTGATTCTGCATTTTCCAACTATTCTGTGTACTCCCCTTACAGTGCAACCCAAACAAGTCAACTACACTAAGTATTTGGGGGTATACCCTCTGTACAGCTCGTTTGTAAGCAACGCAAGTGCATAACCACTACTCTAATATAGTGCTCAAAAGATTAATTGAAACCTTCCCCTCTTTTACTGACACAGTTGAAGGTAATTGCTGGATGCAGCAATATCTTTTAGTCTTGTAAAACCGGCCATCAAGTCTCTACAGAAAGATGCATGAATTACCACCAGTGTTGTTGCTGCTTCTACAAACAACTGGCAAAAATATTTAAAGCTAAAATTTATTGCTCCAGATTTAACTTGCAGAACCGTATTGTTGTGTACAAACTGTTAATCTCCATAGATGCTCAGACGTGATTGTCTCCTTGTGTCTAAACACACAAAATACAAGCTGCTATCTGTACAGTTTACAGTACTGAATCACATATATTTGAAAATGAAGTATAGATATGTACTTTGCAAAGATACATGATTTTACAGTCGGGGGTTACCCAAACTTATTTTTTTTTTTTTTACAGCCACTTTCAAAATAGACAACAACTTCACTAGTATAGCTAAATTACATCAAAGGAGGATTAGTGTATTGAAAGTAAATAGACTGGCCAATTCCCCACGCTTCCCTGTTATTTTTATGTCTTTTTCTTTTCTTTTCCTCTTGTTTTTTGAAGAAATCCCTATACATAAAATGAAAATAATTTCTGGATATTTTCTTCATTGGTGGACTAAGTGGTTTCTTAAAACAAGACATTAGTTTGCCCTTCATTTCCAAATGCCTTGAAAATAAGATATACTACTGCTTTAAAAGAACCACCGGAAAGCTTCAGCGCTGGGAACAGGTGTTCTCTATAAAAAAAGAGCAAGAAAACAAGTTAAGCTTTCTTTCCATGTCAATATAAAATTAGATTTTTCTCCTTTACACTTTAGCAATAGTTTTAGTCAACCATACACAACACATATAGAGCAACATATAATAACAAAGGAAGTGCTCAATCTTAAAATATGAAAATTATACTATTCAATTTAAAAACGAATTAATACTGATTACAATGACTAAAACAGATACAAGATATTAACCAATAGAAGAGCAACTGGTAGCTCTACATAAATTCTGCAGCTGCCTGATGGCAACCCCACATCATTTTAAGTTGATCAACTTGGTGTCTACACATAAATACAATATTCCATCATGGCATAGGAAATACAGCCTTCATAATCTTCATGTATATATCTTATCTATTGCAAAAGTTCATAATCAGCTATGCATGCCATCTTCAATGTGATAGATATAAGCCTTTTATATATGTAAAGTGACTATAACTGAATTATTTTCCCATTACACTAACAAGTATGCAACCAGGCAGTATCTTGAAGTATATGTACAAAGTATAATATATACATACGTAAATATGCAATCTATGCAAGATTAATGTCAGAGCTGAGTGAAGCATCTCTTTATGGTGGCAAAATGAAATTCTAAGTGAATGTTGCCAGAGAGCCAGCCAGTTTGTGTGTATATCTGTGTATGTCTCTCTTTCTTCCCTTTCTCTCTCTCTCCTCTCTCTCTCTCTCTCTCTCTCTCTCTATATATATATATATATATATATATATATATATATTACTTGAATAGTACTTGAATTTACTAATAGAATTTCCTAATAGAATACAATGAAAGTTTTACTACAAAAAAGGTATTGGCTTTGACTTATTTTCTCATACATGAGTAATTTGGCTGTTGTTCTCTTTTCATATTAATGTTAATTGATAATTAATTAAAACCTGTATTAATCTAATGCCTAGTACATTATCTGTCCGACTTTAGACTACTCTCCTTTGAGAACTCCATGCCCACGTTCTTGGATGTGTCTTACTTTATTTCAAGTGTCTTTCTTTGTCTTAGACCTTAAGCCTATGTTAAAATAGCTCTATTGTTAAGAGAGTTTAAGTGAATAAGTTAACTGTTTTGGAAGGCAGATTTCATTTGTACTGTTGGCACCAACAATTGTTTTTAAAACCTGCCCTCAAGAACAACCAAAAGTTCAACTATTAAGACAAATTAAATTACTATAAATTACATAATTCAAATTTACATGCATATTCAAAAAAACCTAAATGGTACCTTCTCAAAGCACAAAGAGGTCTACTCTGTTCAATGAAACAGCACCTACTGTAGTGGGCCTTGACTCCTCTACTGATGAATTCACTAGCTTTGTCCTCTCCAGCTCACTGCATATACTGGACCTCCCTTGTTAAGAGCAGTTTTCTGACCAGCCTGGTTCCATAGCTGTGCCAGCCCCAAACTAACACACAGAGACACTGTATTAGATATAAAGCTATTGGCCAGTTACTAGTGTTTCTTATTGGCTAGCAATGTCTGAAATATTAACCCATTTCTATCAATCTAACTTATCTTACTGAAGAGAGGGTCTACACTTCTTTTCTCCTTAAGTCTCTACATCTTGAATATCCTCCACTACATCTCCCAGAATCCTCCTTGTCTCCTAGTCCCGCCTACCTTACCTTTCTATTTGCCAACAGTGCTTTATTCATTAACCAATAAGAGAAACATGTTTACAGAATGGCATCTCCCATCACTCCCTCATTTGGTTGTTTCTGAAAAACCTCCTTAAATACTTTCTAAATTTAACTTTTGAATACTAAATGGAATAATCATAATTCTAGTTACATTTACCTAGTCATTACTGAAGGAACTATGCAAAGCAATAAGGAAAACAGCATACTTGTTCTAACATTCCTACTTTACATAGGCACTCACACAAATGCACACACATGAACACACACACAAGCAGAAAATGAAAACTGAAAAGTTCTAGCAGATGCCACCTTGCTTTTTGATGCCAACTAAGAAGAAATTCCATATAAGTAACTTCATTTATAAAAATGTAGTCATTTTTAACAAGATACATTAGATCCAAGTGTATCCATGCAATTATATATCTACACTCAGATTCTCATATGAAAAATAAACATGTGCATATATATATTCATACATATGCACATTTATGTGTATATGTATGACAGAGATGCCAACTTACTCTCAGATGCCAATTGGAAACAAGTTTATAAATATATACTTATGCAGTCATGTATCTTGATAAACAGATATGTTTATGAAGATAAACAGAAAAAGTACATAGTACATTTTTTAAACGAGATGAGTCCTTATGCCTTAGATATACTTTTGAATCTATTTTCTCACTTCATCTGGCCATTTCTGCTATTCAATTTTATTTGCACTGTTTAGTGAAAACAAGCTTTTAAAATGTTACCTAGAGTCAAAGGTCACTTTTATAAGGAAAAGATGGTCTTTTCTCAGGGCTTGCTAGCTCTAAGAATTCATCAGACAGGAGGATACGAGAGAAGTGAAGCAGAGGTTCCTATGCTGATGTGCTCTGTCCTAAAGTAGCACCACAGTGATGGTCTCCTGTGATACCACTGTGCACTGTAGTGAGGTGAGAAGGCATCCCAGGGTAGGGGGATGGAGAAAGTACAAAGAGAAGGTGTGTTCAGAGTGAATTTTCTTTGCATTAAGATGTTTGAATTCATGACACTTAAAAAAAAAAGATAAGAAATCAGTACAGCAGTTTCTCAGGAACATGGGAATCAGTCTACCTCATGATCCAGCAATATACCCAAAGGATGCAAATTCATACAAGAACATATATTCAATTATGTTCATAGCAGTGTTGCTTGTAATAGCCAGAACCTGGAAATAACCTAGATGCCCCTCAACTGAAGAGTGGATGGAGAAAATGTGGTACGTCTACACAACGGATTACTATTCAGAGGAAAAAAAAAACAATGAAATTATGAAATTCGAAGGACAATGGATGAAACTGGAAGAAACCATCCTGAGTGAGGAAACCCAGTCACAAAAAGAGAAGCATGGTGTGTACTCATTCATATATGTATATTAGACATAGAGCAAAGGACTACCGACCTACATTCTATACCACCAGAGAAACTAGGAAACAAGGAGGACCCTAAGACAAAAATACATGGTCCCCTGAAGAAGGGGAAAGGGACAAGAGCCCTTGAGAAAACTGGGAGCACAGGGAGAGAGGGGAGGGAAGTAGGAAAAAGAGAAGGGGAGAAGAGGAGGAAGAGGGAGGAGAATGAGAGGGATCAGGAAGACTGAGACAGGGGAGGAATAGAGGACAGCAAGAAGAGATGCCTTAATAGAGGGAGCCAGTATAGGTTTAAAGAGGAACCTGGCACTAGGAAAATGTTCAGAGATCTACAAAGATGACCCCAACTAAGAATCTAGGCAGTATCAGTGAGGGAAGCCTTTGATGCCCTTTCCCTATAATGAGATTGATGACTACCTTAATTGCCATCCTAGAACCTTCATCCAGTAGTTGGTGGAAGCAGAAGCAGACTCCCACAGCTAAACACTGAGCCAAACTCCTGGAATCCAGTTGTAGAGAGGGAGGGGAGAGGAGTAAAGGAGTCAAGACCGTGCTGGAGAAACCTATAGAACAGGCTGACTTGACCAAGTGAGAGCACCTGACCACAGTTATAAAGCTGGGGAACCAGCATTGACTACTCCAAACCCTCTGAATGTGGGTGCCAGTTAAGAGGAGTTTGCAGTCTATGGGACCTCTATTAGTGGAACCAGTATTTATCCTGAGTGCATAAATGGACATTGACAGCCCATTCCCTATGCAGGGATACTCTCTCAGCCAGATACACGGAGGAGGGCCTAGGCTCTCAAATGATGCCACAGACATTGATAATTACCCCATGGAAGGCCTCACCATCCACCATCCATGGGGAATGGCTGGGGGAGGGGTTGGGGGGTTAGTATGAGGCATGGCAGGATGGGGGGATTGATATGTACAATGACTGTTTCTAAATTTAAGAAAAGGAAATGAAAAAAATCACCTAAAAATCTAAGAAAAATAAGGAAAATCACCAGTGTAATAATTCAAACAAATGATCAGATATATACCGGAAACTTACAATTTCCCTGCCAGTTTTATTTTAGGATTAAAAAGAGACCAAAACTCTTTAGTGTCTTAAGGGTTACAGCGAATGCCTTCTCTAACATTCTGTCCAATTGTCATTTGGCTCACCAGACATTTATTTGAGGGTGAGGCTGAGTCATTTGCAACCAAGCAGCTAGAAGCCACTCTGTTTCCAAACCACATCTGGGTTAAATCACAGGTTTCTGATTAGTCTGTGCAAATTTGGACACACATCTTCCTGACTTTGTAAGAAGACCATGGAAAATTGTTTGGAAGCTTCACACAACACAGGGGATTAGATGCTCTCACCAGCTACCTCGATGTTAGATAAATTCAAAGTCCCAGCTGGGGAATAGCACCCTTAATAAGATGACAATGACTTTGTGGATCTCGGTGATGCTGGCAGGGGACAGTTATCCTGAATGACAGGAAGACCAGATTCCCTTGGAAGGAAATGGGGTGGGGAGTAAAGAACAGAATTGAGTTGATCACATTGTTCAAGGCAGCCTTCGCCGCTCATGCAGGTGTGAGCAGCCTGGCTCCCAGGAGGCATGTGGAGAAACCTGCAGGTTCCCCACCCCACCCCACCGTCCCTCTTCCTGGCATTGCTATAAAACATGCTGCAAAGAATCCTCTGACAGAGGCCATATAGAAAATGACCTTCAAGCTTGAAAGAAGGGTGTGTGTTTGTCCCCTAAGTAATGCTTCAAAGCCATGTCCTCCGATGAAGGCATGGCAGGATAAATGCAAGCCCAAATACATTTTACATTTACCTACAAAGCTATGATAAATATCGTCTCTGGTGAAATGCATTTCAGCATACACTTTGCTGAGTAACAAAGAACGAACAAAACAGCC